TAGTTTGTGCGGCAAGTAACATAAATCTGCCTATCACTGTAAAAGGGCTGTCTTCTTCTGTTTTCAAAGTCATAATTTAAATGACAACCAAATATGTTAAGTGGCTTTTGTGAACTCGCTACAGTCCTTGCATGCCCAGACTTGCCTGGTACAAAGTGTACAAAACAGACGTGTGATTTATAAACTATGGGTAATCAAATAAATACAAAGAAAAAAAATCCTCTATATTTGAGTGTTTGGCGGTCATACTTAATAAAAATACTGTAAGGAAAACTTATTGCTGCCATTTGCTTGGCTTTTATCTGAGAAGGACTTGAATAAGGCATGCTACAGCTTCCCAGCAATAACATCGGCATTACTTTCTACTGGAAACAACGCTTGAACCTCCAAACCATTGTTTCTGTTGTGAGAATCATAGATACATAGAGTGAAAAGAATCTCAAGAGATAACATAATTCTGGTTTTCAGCATTGAGCCTCTCCCCTAATTTCTCTGTACCCATATTTCCATCTGAAAAATGGAGATGTTATCATTAAAGGTCTGAAAACGTAGTCCAAGTGAGCGATAATATTTAGATGACTTGATTCGTGTACTTTGTAAGTTCTCATTAGCTAGCTGCTTTTCCTGGGACTGCAGAGAAAGCTACAGAATACATACTCTGGTGGCCTGGAGGGACTAGGGACTCCATTCACGTCTGATTTTGCTCTTTAGAACTCTTAAACATATAAATTGGTTACATAGTGAAAGAACAGTGAACCCTGCTACCACCAAGGGTCTTTACATTGCCTTCTGAGGGGCTCAGGTGGTTTGTCATTGAGGATCTGACCATCCCTGGGATAAAGGCAGTCGTATTCCTATGTAACAGATGAACAAACTGAGGCCTAGAAGATTCATGATATGCTCAAACAGACACAGCACAGATCGAAGCAGGCTGACACTCGGGTTTCAAATTCTGTGTTCTATCAACTAAATCATTCTACAGTTCATTTCCTATCTATATTGGTGCTTTCAAAATTGTCCTGAAACATACAGAAATATAGAGTTGTCTTTTGATTGTATTAAACATGACTTTATACAAACTAAATCAAATTCAAATTTTATTTTAACTTCTTAGGAGAAAGATGAACTACATCCTTTTGATTGGCCCAAAATGACAAGTATAATAAAGTTGAAAAGATTATTTGGATCATGAAGTGACTTCCCTCTATTTGGAGCTGTTTCCAACTAAATTTACAACAGCTTAAAAAAGGAAACGTCAAGCTTCAGTCAAACTTGTCAGCTAGCAGAACAGCTTAAGTGTCTACATTTGTCAAAATGTTGGTTAATACATTCAGCTCAAATTTCCCCACAGCTATAATTAAGGACTAGTGTTTCTAAAAATTTTATAATCCTTTTGAAGCATACTAGATTTGCCAGGGTTCTTTTTTTTTTTTTTAATAAAGGGTATATTTTACAAGTATTAAGTTAGCATAATAAGAATTGTTATTAATTCTATTTCACCATAGCAACAGGCTAGAGGCCATTCAGTAAGGCACCTAAGAAGTTACTAAAAGCATCCAGAGCCTTAAGTAAATTAGACTGCAACTAAATAAGCAAATGTTGAGTAATTAAGTTTCCAACCACCTTTATTCATTTATAACTTGTAGACAGATGAAAATCTGTCCTTCGGCTGGCGCTTCTAAAATCCAGCCTCCAGTCCTCTGCAGAAAACATCACAGGCTTTGATGATGAAAAGAGAAAGCTAACTCTGATGATCTGTCTCAAGGAAGGGAGCAATGCTTTTCCCCAAAAGATTTGCTGATAAACGTTTGCCAGCCCCCAAAAGATTGCATATATATAGTTTGTCTACAATTAACCAGGCCAGCATCCCCTCCCATGTTCTGGACTGTTGACATATTTCCTCAAGTGAAGTTGGTTTCCAATCAACATTTTATTAATGTTTTGTTGATATAAAAGACAGTAATGACATGTTAGATTTTGCTTGAGAATTGTAAGTTGTGGAAGATGGTGACAAATGTGTAATAGGTTGCTGCAGTAATTATGTTTGCATATAATAATGGAGAAATTAACTTGTGAAAACAATCACCTGCACTAAGACCACTCTTTTAACAAATAGAATCAGTGTACTTAAGTTTGTTTGAGTACCAACTGGCATCTTTTTAGAATACCTGCAACTCTACTCACAGTCCCAGGCCAGGTTTCTTCCCTTTGGAATTCAAATAGCTTTGCATTTGCTGGCAATTATCATTAGGTGTAATGAGTCTAAGAAACTGCAAACAATTAAAATACTGGCATAGCAAAACAAATCTGGACTATGACCGCATTGTCTCATTTCTTCTCTTAACTGTGAATCATTTTACTGTTTTTCTAATTCCTGTAATTTTTTATTGGATATTGGACATTGTGGATGATATGGTGCAGGGATTCTAGATTCGATCTTTGAAAAGTGTTATTTTTTGGCAGGACTCAAACTGTATCACCTATGATGGGCAGTAGCTGAAAACTCTTATAGTTCTTTCAGCTTTTTAAAGTTGTTTTCTGCCAGGCTCTGAAGGGTGTAGATTCATAGTTCAGGGTCAGCCAAGGACTTGTCAGAATTTATATGCAGATTTTAGGGTTCCACCTCCTGTGGTTTGCTTCTGTGATGTTCCCTCCTTACTTTCCAGTCTCTCTAGAAGCACTGAACTCTGTCCTATTCTCAAGCCAATTTCATTATAGCTTTCTGCCTGAGTTCTAGCTACTCTCAACTGTTAGACTTGGAAATACCTTCAAAGAACCATATAAACACAAATCTCAGTCAATGCAGTCCCCTCTTTCAAGAGTCAACCTCTTTCTGGTTTGTCTGCTTATGGTTACTGTCAAATAGTTGTTCTTTGTTTCATGTTGAATTCATAATCATTATCTGTGACTTGGTCTGATATGCTTACTCTTCTATTATCAGAAGCAGAACCTACAAATACTTTTCAGAAACATAAAAATAAAACATTGGTTCTATAAATTATTATAAGTAAATTAATTCAACAAGTATTCACCAAACATTTACTTTGGTCTAGTTACTATGCTAATAGTAGGTGATAGAAAGTATTTAGATATAAGATTTATATTAGATTGTAGTCAACTTAAAATGGCCTGGATTTTTAAACTTCAAAATAAAATGTTATTCAGAGACATTTGCAATTCTTTCCAAAAAAAAAATGAAGACAGTAAACATACATTTACTTGTTCTGTAATAAATACTTTATATTTATATGGTGCATTTTTTTCAAAAAATTCACATTTCTGAGGCCAAAAACATTTGCAGTTAAGTTTAACAATGCCAATGGTTGGTTACAGTGAAAAATCCTCAACTTTCTTCAGCTAGCTTGAAATTTGTCAAAATATTTTTTAATAATGTCCCTGGGATAGAGCCACTCTTTCAAGAAACTGGAACTAGTAAACATCAAAAGTAAAAGTGAACCACACAGTGCTCTTTCAGTATCAAATTTGGGGCTCAGTACTACCAATGGGACCTGGGCAGTAAGCAGCCTCAACCTTTGACTTATCCCATTTGCCTGCCTACCTAGGAATGTTACTAATCTGCATAAACAGCTTTAGTTTCTCACTATCTCTAAATAAAATAAAGGTGGAAAATACATCAGTACAGAATCCAATGCTAAATGCCACTTTTATTTGGGGGTGAGAGGTCAATGATAGTAGGAAGATGACCCGCTGCCGACAGTTTGCATGCATGCTACAGGACTTGGGGTTTACCGCCTTAGTTTTCAGCTTAGTACCCCATCCTTACTTTCAAATCCTCACTTAAGACCTGTTTTGCCCATAGACTTATAGGAGGCTGAAGAGGGACAAAAAGGTAGGTGGGAAACTGTTCTTGCTTTATAGTTTTGTGCAAGTTTGGCTCTGGCTTTATTAGTGAGTCAAATGGGAAAGAGATTAAGACTAAGCTCCAGTCCCTATTTTCTCTATTTTGCATACAGGTTAAAGGTATGTAAATAAGTACCCTTATTTCCATTTAGTAAGCACCTGCTCCTGTTCTAATTCTGTTATTAGAATTGAATAGTCTATAGATCACACATGGCTAACGTATGGAGTATGTATTTCATAACTATTTATTGAATGAATTACTTTGTTCTATATACTTTTGTCCCTTTTCTCTTTAATTATATTTCTAAGATATATTTGTTCTTAATATCTGAACTTCTTTTTATTACCACTATCTGATCTTGAAAATATTTCTGACATTACACCAATTTTACCATAAACTCTGCAGTTCATTTTCTGATGAATCATATAAATAACTCCACCTGAAACAGTGTGAGGCCAATAGCAAACATCTGTGTCCTTAAGAGGCCAGTTTCTTCCCTGAGTGCAGCTGGCTGGCATCAGCTAAACATCAACTATTTAACATGCTCAAGCTGTGCACCAATAGAGGCTGACCAGTGCTTACTGCTGAGTATCTTATGCATTTAAAAAAAAAAAAAAAAGAGAGGAGGAGAGATGAGAAAAGCAGAACACAAGTGTTATTTACCGGTTTTTAGTCATTCCCCTTTTCTTCCAAAGAAAATAGTTCCACTGAATCCTTGGTGGGTTCAGNAAAAAAAAAAAAAAAAAGAGAGAAGGAGGAGAGATGAGAAAAGCAGAACACAAGTGTTATTTACCGGTTTTTAGTCATTCCCCTTTTCTTCCAAAGAAAATAGTTCCACTGAATCCTTGGTGGGTTCAGGGGCAGGAGCAGGACAATCAGCCGGTGTGGCTTTGAAGTGCGGCTGCAGGCTTCCACCCCTTTCCCAGCTCAGCTGTTGAAGCAGAGAAGAGACTTCAAAGGCAGACCTGCTGTTATTCCTGCCAGTGGGGGTGAGTGATTCCCATGCTAGCTTTAGAGAAAACACTAGGAACTCATCCGCTCTTACTTGCCGGGGTTTGATGCTCACCAAATGATTTACTAGTTTTCAGTTGTAGCTGTCTCTATCTAGTGGACGCAGATAAAACCAATCACAACTCCATTGTGATTTATATTTATTTATGTACACTACTTTTACAAATCATCTGAGACGGCCAGGTTTGTAATTTGTCTAGATCGTGCCCCATGTCAGTGACAGCAAATAAACTGCACCTGCTCGATTACATTCTCTGCTCACGGAAATATACAGAGTGTCTCCCAGAGCAAAGCAAAGTTTAAGAAGTCTGTCTCCTTGCCACTCTGCTACCCCCAGCCTGTAATTATAACTGTTTAGTTATACCTGGTTTTAGTTATATGTAGTTTTTCATTCTATGAATTACTCCATTTGGTCAACAATTCACCTTCTACAGTACATACATTTTTGAATGATATAATTAAATTTTGAAAGAAAATGCAATTTCCCTGAATGATTTTATTTGGTCTAAACCTTTTCATTTAAAATTTATATTCTTTTACTTTACAATTATAAAGGGAAAAGAAAATGATGCTGAAATATTAACTCTAACTCTTAGAATTAAGACTATCTTTGATTCAAAAACTAATTCTTGGCCAGTTACATGGACAGTTAAACTTTCCTGCCACTACTTCCAACCAGCTTTTACTTAAATAAATATGAAAAATTAGGTAAAAACATTTCAATGTACAGTACAAAATGGTACAAGATATGAGAGTCTTCAGGGAATATTATGCTAAAAAAGCATAAGAAACCAGACAGTTACATTAAACATTGATAATCATATGACCAAAAAGCAAGTTGCTAACTAAACACCAATTATAGAGGTGCCCATTTATTTGGCAACATGGCCCCAGTATGGCCTAAAGAAGGCTTCTGTGGTGGAAATGAGTGCTAGGATTAAAGAAAAAAGCAAACTCACTCCTAGGAACACAATTAAGGGAGAAAAATTCCAGAAAGCTTCTATAACTAGCAGACGGGTATGCCTCATGATGTAGAAAAGACAGGCTACTATGCAAATTCTGAAGAAGTGAATAGTTAATTCAGTTAAAGAGTGGTAACAACAGCAATGAGAACACAAATCATTCTGTTATCCATACTACATTTATCACAGAATACAATCTGGAAATAATGTCAATGACTGGATTTTCATTTTTTAATTTTGCAAAAATGCTCAGCTAAAAGTGCATAAGCTCCAGATTCTCAATTCCAAAGATGGGCTTTCATTCCTGACTGATTGCATCCTGAAGAAATCAAAGGTCTTCTTCTCAACGTAAAACCACCATTTCTGGCCTTTTTTGAGCCATTTTTTATTTGTGTAACAAATGACTTGAAGATGCCATTTTAAAAAGCAAAACAAACACACCAAAAAAACTGGGAAAAAGTCACAAATAAAATGATTTTATGGAAACAGAAGATTTTTTAAAATGCTGTTTGGAGCTTGCTACCATATTGTTTAACAATTACTTATGTTGCTCATTTTCTGAGATTTCATTCCAACGAGAGCTGTACACTGTCAGTTTGGTTCTGGGGCTGTTGATAATCATACTTCCTTGCTATTAAAAAATAAAACAAAACAAGAAAGAAAGAGAAAAAAATTAATAAAAGAGCAAAATAATTACTAGTTAATATTACTAAATCACAGTCAAGTCATGAATCTCAGTAAAGAATTAGCTTAAAATTGAACTTTTTTTGGATTGGAGAAATTTATTATACTCTGTGATCCTCTAATTTCTCAACACTGCTAATACCCATTTTTATACGTTTCTATTATTATTTGTATATCAGGACTATTCAGAGCTTTAAAATATAGGTAAGCATTAATTAAGCTATTAAAATTAAATTAATATTCTGTAATTTCCTTTCTTGCCCCGCCATTTCCACCTTAAGACAAATTAATAATAATGCTTTTGTCTACATCACAAGGAATTTGACTATATTTTACCTTATAAGCCTAAGAGATCTGTTATTGAACTTTGTGATTAATATAAACTAGAAAAATACAATTCTGTATTCTCTTTGTACTTTTGAGAAATGTATATTGAAGAATGGTCTTAACCTAAAACTCGAGAAAGTAGAGGGTTGAAATCTTTATGAATGGCATTCAATGCTGAACTTTAAAACTTTCAGTCTCTTCATTTTTTCCTAGTCAAGAAAGAGATGTTTACGCTACTCGGGGGTGAATTCAGATTTTTGAGGCCTAAAGCTTGTACAACTTTGGGAGTCTTCTTTAAGAAAAATAATTTTGTTTGTTATTTCCTCTTGAACCGCCAGACTTTGTTAGGACTACATATGTCACAAACACTGAGAATCCTCCAATGTGCAGGAATTCAGTAAATGTGCAAATCCACACACACTCACTGTTTATAGGAATGATGGTTTCCAAAGAGGTCCACATCCTAATCCCCATAATCTGTGAATATGTTTCCTTACAGGACAAAGGGGACTTTGAAAATGTGATTAAGGTAAGGCCCTTGAGAGGGGGAGATGACTGGATTATCTGGCCCCACCTAATCACATAGGCCCTTAAAACTGGAGAACCTTTCCTGGCTGAGTACAGACAGAGGGGAAGATACAAAAATGGAAGAATGATCAAAAGGATGCCATGCTGCTGGCTTCGAAGGTGGAGGAATCGGGCCACAAAGCAAGGAATGTGGGCTGCCTCCAGAAGCTGGAAATGGCAAAGAAACAGATTCTCCTCCAGAGCAGAAAGAAAACCCCGCTGACCTAGATTTTATCCCAGGGAGACTACTGTAGGATCTTTAACCTACAAAACTGTAAGAGAATACAGCTGTGTTGTTTTAAGCCACAGAATTTGTGATAATTTGTTACAGCAGCAATAGAAAACTGATGCACCTTACAAAGACTGGAATTCTGATAAATTTTATTTTATGCCATTCCCATCAAAGGAGAAAAACAAATGTACACTGGGTTTATAACTGTATATGTTATACTACTGAATATATTACTGATAGGAGATAACTTCTGTTTTGACTAGGCATCAATGATAACTTAATTCTTCCCTTACAATTTTCCATACAGAGCTTCTGACTCTATACTTTAAAAAAAAACAAGTTTTTTAAAGGGTATTTTCTGTTGTGGTAAAATATACATAAAATTTGCCATTTTAACCATTTTTAAGTGTTTAGTTCAGTGGCATGAACTACATTCACATTGTTGTGCAACTATCACCACCATCCATTCACAGATCTGTTTTGATCATTCCGAACTGAACTCTGCCCGTTAAATAACAACTCCCCATTTTCTCTTTCCCCAGGGCCTGGAACCACCATTCTACTTTCTGTTTCTATGAATTTGCCTCATATAGTGAAATCATACAATATCTGTTCTTTTGTGGCTCACTTATTTCACTTCATTATAAGAATTATGAAGCATAATGTCTTCAAGGCTCATCCGTGTTGCAGCATATGCCAGAATTTTCTTCTTCTTGAAAGCTGAGTAACATTCTACTGTATTTATGTACCACGGTTTGTGTATCCATTCATCCGTCAAGGATACTTGGATTGTTTCCACCTTTTGGCTATTGTGAATGAAGCCGCTATGTTAGTTTTACTTCTTAGCTTGAACTGGTAACCCACGCATATGGTACAAAGGGCAGAAGGAACAAAAGAAAAACAGTGAAAGTGTGCTCTCCCCCTGATCAGTCCTGCAGCTACCTACCCAGTTGCTTTCCCCAAAGGAACTGTTGTTACCATTTCTTAGGATAAAATTTATGCTAAAGAATTTTTTGGAGGTTTTACTTGTGTAAAACATATATGTACATATATATTTTTTCTACTTTTCACCTAAAATAAAATATATATGTACATATATATTTTCTACTTTTCACCTAAAATAAAATATATATGTACATATATATTTTTTCTACTTTTCACCTAAAATTTCACTTCTTGCTTCTTCCTATGCATATACACACACACATTTAAGTTTTTACTATAGACATATTTCTTTTTTGAAATGTCTAGTCTTTTTCTTTAAATACCACACTGTCCCCATCACGGTAATAATGTTAATAATCTGATGCGCATCTCTCCAAGCCTTCCTCCATGCTTGCATAATTACATAGAACACTTATATTAGTTGTAGATAATACAAGGGATGTTTTGGTCATTTGATTTTAAAAGAGTGGCATCGTATAATATACTACTATATTTTGTTTTTCTCAACTTAATGATACACCGCAGAAACAATACCCTTATTCTTTTAAATGGTGGCATAAATGGCTGGGCTTACAATTCATTCTGACTCTTTCCCAATACCTACATTAACTCACCGGGTTCAGTACTATAGAACTTATTAATATTGAGATATGACCCCTTACCATGCACATGGATGTCACATGCCATGTTCCTGGAAGCCATTCCTATACTGCTTTGGCTTGTAATAATATAATTATAATAGAAGGGACTTCAAACTCCATAAATACAAACTTCAAATCCCAACTAAAAGTAGCTCCAACTCAACTTTCCCTTAGATTCTCAAAATACTCCTGGCTACCTCAATGCCATTCCACACAACGTGAAGTACAAAGGAGGGCAAATCAGAGTAGAAAGAGATAGCAAAATCCACTGATTGTTAAAGTAGCTAGTTTTTTGCAAAATTTACAAAAGCATGATCCCGTGCACACATTCCTAGGGTTCTTCTCAGAGTCATGCAAGGGCCCCATACAAGTACAGGGTCCTGAGGCATTAACTTCATGCAAACCTGCCCTTGCTGACTCTGTTTTCATTATCATCTATTTCTGATGACTGGATTTAATTCCAAAAAATCTATTTTAAGCATGCTTATGCATATAGTCAAGCACAGAATGTACTTACAAATGGAATACATTTCCAGTTGCTGTCTTAAACGAATTTTGCTCATTGTGTCATAAAAGTTGGGCTCTGCCAAAGTTTCTGCTGTAGGTGGCACACTGAATATCCTCATTATTTTCCTTTTATGTCTAAAACAGAAAAACAATGCAGAAGAGAGATTTGTATTAATATCAATAGGACCATAATAGTCTCATGATCGTTATAATCGAAAACTACATTTAAGGACTTAAATGGCAAGGAATCTATCTTTTATTTTGTCTCTGTGGATGCTTTCTTGGCTCAAGTACTTTTTCTTTCACTAAAAAGTATGAAGCTATATATGTACAGACACAGGGATATAAGAAAGTAGCTGAACACATCCACTTAATACAACAGTGATGTACATACCTCTATTGTGCCTCCACTCCCTACTCTCCCAAAAGCCAAATATTGTATGGGAAAATGTATAAACAAGAAAACATCTGATTTTTTCCCTTCCCTCTCATGTCCTCCAAATAAAGCTAACTTCTGGGTTCGACAATAAACAATGTGAGCAGACCTTAATTTTGGAGAAGAATGAATAAGCATATTTCTTAAATACAATAGGATGGCCTTAGTTGGGGGGGTATCTATTTAAAATTTATAACAGTGTGCCCCTGCTTTTAAAAGTGGGGTGGGGAGAAGGCAGCGCTATTTTTAGCAGAAAGCTGTTTCCTGCAAGTGGGCCAGTGCTGATATGTGGAGCCTTCTCTCACCCACCCCCTAGAGTCTAGGCAACCAATGGGCTAGCTGCTCTAGGGGTCAGGCAACTAGGAAGGGGGAATCTGCGTGTCTGAGAGAAAGTATAGGCTCTGAACTGTGCCGCAGACCAAACGTCAATAATTTGTGGATTACTAATTATTTGAACTACCTAATGCCTTTTTGACTTTGGTGGAGAATACCATGAAGCATGTGGCTATAAGCAGAAGCAACTCAGTCCAACTAATACTGCTTTTCCTCTTCAAAGCTCCCTCTGCCTTTTCTTTTTCTTATTGTATGGAAAGGATAGGAGCCAGAGAGTATGTGGGAGAGAACAGTTTCATCATGCTACAGCATCAAGAATTAAAGCAGAAAATATTAAGAATTTATACTAAGTGGCACACCAGGGACACAAAGGTTAAAGGGCCTTATTCTCAAGGGATTGAAGTTTTGGTGGAATGGACAGATAAGTAATCAGATAATACCAATATTGTTCAAGAAGTGCTATGATACAGTCTTGCACAAGAAACAGAAGGGAAAGCTTAAAATGTGCAAAGAGAGACTGCTAAACACACAGGAGTTAGTGTTTCTGCATTTCAGGGACATGGGCCAAAAAATGTGCTCATCCCAGGGTGCCAGTGAACACAGGCTGGGTAATAAAATTGAGCTGTATTAGAAATGATAGAATGGGAGTATAGTGCAGCTGGTTTGGGTGCCAAGAGCTGCACTTAAATCTCCATCTCTTAAAGCAATAGGGTTTTCCAAGCCAAACTTTGGTATCTAGTGCTTGAGGGCCCCAGTAGACAGTGCTTTCATGGTGGGAACAAAAATGCTGATGAAATTATTTTTGTGCAATTAATTCAGATCAAACAAACAAATAAACAAGCCTGCAAAGCTTTTAAATGCCCAGTTTCTTATCTCCCCTGAGGTACTCAAAGATTTACCTTTTGGCATACATGAAGAGACCAAAGCTAACGAGGATCACTACCAAGTAAACGTTGGTGGCTTCGTTCCAGGCTTCATGAACACTGTAATCAATAGAGCCATCGTCACCCATCACTCCGTAATCCCCAGGCATGCAGCTGTAAGGGAGAAAAAAGAACAGGATTTCTGTTAGTGAGTGATAGTATGACTGTCTGGAAAAGCGCTGGTAAACATATGGACGGCTGGTCAGCCCCAGCCAGGCTGCCTGTTTCTGTATGGCCCAGAAGCTAAGAATGGTTTTACATTTCTAAACAAATGCATTTTAAATGGTTATAATTACCTACATAATATCCTTGATTTTTGCCTCACAGCTCTCAAAGCCTAAAATATTTACAATCTGGTCCTTTAACAAAAAGTTGGCCAACCCCTGGTTGAGATAACTAAAGCATGTAACATACTCCCCCTTATTTGTAACTTTGAAACATTAAAGCTTCTATATAAAGGTTAAAACTTGGGATTAAAAAATCATATTAATAAAGGGATACAGTTTGAAATATCAATGTACAGTTTCCAAGCAGTAACTATCACCCAGATTAAAGCAATTGAATACTTTGAAACACACACCCAAACTGAGCTGTGATGCTCTCAGAACAGGGTTGCACTCGTGACAGCAGCCTAACCTAGAAAAGATGCGACAGCAGTAACAATGCTCTTCCACATGCCTCCCGATGCAATTGGAAAACGTTTGGAGCTTTATCTAGTTTTGGCTTGCTGGCCAAATGTAGTTGAAAGAAGCTATGGTATAAAAAGTTACTTTTTGCTATTTACACAGCTGTGACTTCTATTCAAGGAAATGCATTCTTTGGACATTCCCACAGAAAATAAGGGTGGTAATAGCAACTGTATCACATAGCAAGTAAAGGAGTAATGGCTTCTTATTTGTGTTTGGGAAGATAACTGAATATTTCCTTTAACAGAGAGTTCCTCCTTTGTGTTGGACATAAAAGGTAAGTCTAAGTAAAATGACCTAATATGTGAAAGAAATCCAGAAGTGTTATTTTAGACATTCTATAAAAAGGAGAGAAACTGAACAAATGATAGGTGAGAACTATCCTGTAGTTTTTAAGAATAAGACAGCCATTTTCTAACACCAAGAAAAATAGTGTCTGAAATGTCCAAGAAATTGTTTTTCAATTTTTCCCGATATTCTATAACAATGAAGGCACTGCAGAAATTCATCCACTAAATATCTTGCAATCTCTCCTGTAAGCCTTCAAAATATTCTTTAACGTAGTTTTGGCTCAGTAAGTTAATAAGTATGTATTAAGGGCAGAGCCTGTTTTCTTTCTTATAGTGTTTCTCTGCATAAAATTAAATTTCCCCAGAGGTCTGCTGCTCAGCCAAGTGCCATATTTGCCCCTTGCTGACATCTGAAGTCTTTGTCAGACATTTGGGGACATAATGTACTCATTTACAATAAAGTGAGTATCATGAGTGGCCATTTAACTTAAACTGTTGACATTGAGGGCAAGAATAATTTCTCTAACACATCCACTGATGTCTGATGAACATAAAGATGTACTGTAAAAATTAGCTAGGGAATAATAAAAACAGAACTTACTTTAAATTATAATAATCTACACATGCAAGATCTAAATATTAAACATCAGACCATACCCAATTCCTATAAAAGTCTGGCTGTGAATTTTCTTTCAAGAGAGTGAGAGGCACAGGGGGATTTGGCATAGTCAGAGTTTCAACTCTTATTCCTTAAAATTGAACTCCAGGGTTTCTCTGAATATAATAATTATGATTGATAGTAAGTAATCAATTTTAGAAATGAAAATTTTGGAAGACCAGAGACTAATAATTGTTTATGGCTTATGGAATTTAGAATTTTGTTGGTTCCAAAATGCAGAATAACAATGACTGTGTTTTGCAAAAAGACTTTAGATGTCTGATTTAACATGCTGAAGAAGGCCTGGAACAATCATGCAGCAAGGGTGGTAGCTTTCAGGATTGGCAGTTATTAACTAGTCAGGGAAGAAACAGGAAACATAGTAGTGGCCACTAGAACATTCTGCAAGTGCCATTTATGTAACAAATTATGAAAGTGTTTCCTACCTGTTTTCTAACACCTGAATGGATCTGAGCCAGGTTCATTTCTGGCTTTGATTTTCTACAAAATTCTGTTCATGTGCCACTCAATAAATAGTGTATTCCTACAGAACTTCTCATCCTCCTGATACAAATATGCCAGTCTGTAATTACAGAGGATTTCAAATTACTGCTGACTCAGACGGAAAAACTTTAACGTGAATTATATAACATACATTAGACAACATCACTGGTATGCAATGACACTACTGTTCCACAGTTCCAGGGAAATGCACTGGAGTTATTTTTAGTAGTGTTGTTGTGAAAGATCGGCACTGAGGGTAGACCTTTCCTGTCCACTTCTCTATCATGACCAATAGCATGACTTTGTAAGACTGCCAAGAATAGAGAATGGTTTTGTCCAAAGTCACAGTACAGACTCATGGCTCACATGTGGCCTGAACTATGACCATCCCTTCCAGCACACCACAGTCTAACCAAGTACACATACACCTGCTGAGTGGTTCCTGGATACCACCATAGCCTTCTTGGAGTCTACAGCAAAACGCCCAGGGGCTATTATACAGTGGTTCCTTCTTGGCAAGTTGCAAGTTTCAGCAAGATCACAATGTAGCTAGCCATGTGCTTGGATCATGATTCATAGATTTCTCAAATTCGTCATTTGAGATAACTAAACTTCTTTCACGTTATTTTTCCTGTAGAGTAATGCTTGAACAATTTCCATAGGGAGATGCTAGGATGAGCTGAACTAAGTCCCAGGTAAATATTGGCATCCAGAGATAAAGCTGCCAAAATGTGACAACTAGGGTTTGGTTTTAGTTTGATAAACTTTTAGGTTGAGAACTAGAACTTTTCTAGGGATCAGTGATTATACCATGTTTTAAAATTAGTTTCCTGATTTTGGGTTCCCGATACCAAGTCCAGGTGGTTCTAAACCTGATCATCGCTTGTTATCGTGTCTAGAATGTTAACCATTTTTCTCTCACTTAGTGCTTTGTTATGTTGATACAAATTCAGATTAGACTCATTTATACAGTTCCAAGAGTTCCTTACGACACAATCCACTGCATAAATGTGGTTTTCTTTTTCTCAGTCCTTTGACACACTAAAGGTTGTTTCCGACTCAGAAGGGTACAAGCTAACAGGCCTTCAGGAGGAAGACGCCATCGGGAGGCAGGCAGTATGTTCCTTTAATCCTCACAACCACCCTGCTGGGAGGCACTAAAACTCCATTTCCTAGAAGCAAGTGGGATGGTGGTGGCGGCTACACAGTCTAACTTGCCCAATGTCACGCAGTCTAGAGAGGGCTGTCACCCGCATCTGACGCCCAAACCTTAACTCTTCGGGCCCTGACCTCAATCTTGTGAGACCTGCTCCTCCCGGAAAAAAATCCAGTTGAGCGGGTACAGAATATAATCCTGTCAGGAAGCGGCCGCAGGCAGGAGCCTCCAGAGCCGGCGGCTGTAAGCGTTTCCGCCGTCCGCAGGCTGAGCACGAGGGTTCGGTCCTGAAACACTCCCGCTGAACCCCAACCGCCCGGGGCCATCGCGCCCGCCCTAAGTTTGCATTGCGGATGCGGCCACTTCAACTCCGTCGTCTGCGTTTCTGGAACTCGGAGGCTCACCATCCCCTGCGGCCCCGGGAGGCTCGGAGCAAAGGCGAGGAGGCAGCAGCCTCCCGGCGCCCCGCGCGGGCGTGAGGCGGGCGCGGCGCGACCTCCCCTCCCCTCCNCTCACGCTGCTCGCTCCGGAGGCGGCAGGCGACCAGGCTGCTCGGCTCGGGGCCCTTTCCCCCGGAGTCGGGGCCGGGCTCGCGGGAATCGGTTACCTCACGGACCTGGACGACCTCTGCCTTCGTCATTTCCT